ACATATTGCATCGCTTTTCTGCAAGATAAGCTAGCTGTTTGCAAGCAGCTGCAAGACGTAATTTAAAATTATATCCAATTTTTTAATTAGACTTTTATAAAAACGTTATTTCGAGCGGCTAAAAATGAACATTTCATACTAGCCTCTGATTACTCATCTTTTGTTCCATATAGGTGCTTTGCTGCTTTTCCCTGCTACTTTTCGAGATATGCGCCAGTAAACCACATGATGTAGGGGCAATTGTCACCTCGCCGCTCTACTGAAGGCCCGGCGCTCTTTAAAACGCTGGAAGTTGTGAAAAACAAACGCTTATAATCTAAATGAAATATATGTCCCTGAGCTCAGAATTGATCAACGCACACAATGCTGTCAACATTTTTGGGCCAAACTCAAAAATTCAGTCATTATTAACCCCTAAACACAAGTTAGTGGTAATCAACAACAACTTGCTCTTTAGTTAGACTTTTTGAGAAATGTTATTTCGAGCCGTTAAAAATGGCCATGCCATACAAACCACCAATCATCTTTCTATCATACCCTACTCGCAATTTTTGCTAATGCCTGCTACTCTTCGAGGTCACGTGACCTCACCATTAAAAGTGAATGGGGAAATAAGGAAACTGTTGTTTTTGCGCATGGAATGATTTCAAACTATCTCAAGCACACGGAATCGTGATTTCGTGCACTCCTTGCAAGATCCGATGCTTTACTTTTGCATTTTTGACCTTCCGTGACGTCATTGATGACGTCACACCGGTCATAGGAGTTTCTCGTCAATAACTCATGATCAAATTGAGCTAGCGACTTGGGAAAGCCACCAATGGACTCGGGAAGACCTCCCGAATCGAATGATATGCGATACGACCTCCTTCGATTAAGTTCGTGGCCTGATGGGCTCTGAGCTGACCTTGACTCGAGGTCAATACCTTAAGTTGACCTCACCCGAACAAAAAGTATACCATTCGACGCGCCTGAGCCAGGCGAACACGATGGTGCCAAAATCGCTGCTCTGCGGCCATTTTTTGCGAAATTATTTGCCAAAAACCAAACCCTACCTTGGGCTTTTTGACTTCACCTCAGAGGTTACCGGTTGACCTGGGACCTTAAAATCGGGTATCAATCGTTCCGCCTTGAAACGGCGCACACGCTTGTTTTTTCCGCGAGGCTCTAGCTCCATTAGGGGCGAAACAGCAAAAAGGGGTCGTACCAACCCTCTCCCCTCGGCCGGCCGAGGGGGTGGGGGGTCCGACAATAGGTTCGGCGAGGGTTAAGCAGCCCCACTTCGTTTTTAGCATGTTTGCTTGTCACTGAGATCAACAACTCAATCACAAATAATTTCTAGCACTTTTCCGGACCCCCGGCCCAGTGTGCGTCGGTCGGCCAGACGCCCATTGCACCGGCTACTGATGGTCAGTGGTGGCGCGGGGGGCCAAGATGTCGGGGGCGGAGGAGGATGCGCCGACCCGCGCACGCTTAGCCACCGAACTGGGGACATAGGTAGACACATACAAAACATGGAATGAAATCTGGAACCAGTGGCTCGGCCCTGCCTCGCCCGCCGCTAAACCATGGGACCAATGACAGGGTCGATGAGACAGACATGAAACAAAACAGGGCAGCATACAACTTCCAGCGAATATTTCCATAAGTAACTATATGATCCATATACGACTTAGCACGCTAGATACAACTTAAAGTCCATGTTCACACAGCAGCCGGTAGGTACGCGTTCCCGATATAGTGAGCACGCAGCACGCAATCCACGTGTCGCGATTGATCGTCAGCGCATACATACAGTACGTGGGCCGGAATAATTCATCATCCACTTCACAGACCGGACGTCTTACGGCACTGAGCACCCATTTCAGAGCGCAGATGTTCGATGCAGCAAGCTCGGTTCAGGGAACGCACTTGGCGCATTTCTACAGAAGTCTGAGAACCTTATCAGCGTTGGCCACCCACTGCCCCATCGCGGCGGGGGGCAGTGACCAGCAGCCAGACGTCAATAAATACCTGGGCCAACGCCCGGCGGGCCGGCCCCTGGACAGTCGACGGTGAAATCGGAGCCGCTTCAGCAGCTACAATAGCAATATCGTGGAACAGTGGTCTGGGCAATGGTATATGTCCTGAAAGGTAAAGTAATGATCCTTCTGCTCCAGCAAGCTTAAATTTAACGACACAAAAATATTTAACATTATTGTGCCTTGAATTAATGTGCAATAAAGAAAGAAGTAATAACGACTGACCGGCTACAGCTCTTACCAGAGACCACAGCTGGCATGAAAAGCCGCGACCTCAAATCGTTAATCATGGATTATTCACACCGTGCAAAAGTTCGGCGAGTTCACAACCCTCGAGTTCACCATTCCATTATGAGTTTCGGTTTCGACGCACCATCACTCCTGGTGCGTGTCGATTGGAGTGCCGCTGTCGGGTCGCGCGGGAACGGTGACTGTCGTCAGCTGAAACAAGGGCTAGCCGCCAGCGGAGGGCTGCAACCCTCATCTAAGCTGCAGACGCCCCGCTGAGTGACGACTGGCGAATAACCTCCACGGGCGATTCGAATTCGTTCAGGCAGCCGTCACGGACAAAATGGGAATCTAGCCCCGGCGTGGTGACGACGTGTCGAGGGTCGAACGCACGCTCACCGCCTGTATCCAGTGGGTTGGGTCCTCTCTCAGGCGGCCGACAGGACACGAATGGATACGGCTATCGCGAGCGGGACAGATCGGCACCGCACCAGAAGGTGAGTACTGGGGTAACACCACGGATATGGAGCTGGAGCCGCACCGCTAACCGGGGTCCTGGCAGAGCCGGCCGCCGCTCAGACTTTACTCCCTCAGGCAGTTGATAGTCGATAATATCTCACTCCGCCGAAAGATGCTTATAGGGTGGCCTTCGCCCAACAACCGACAGCCATGGGCCGCCGGCGCCCTCAGACAACGCACGGACCGCCACCGCCCTCAGACAACCCACCGACCGCCACCGCCCTCAGACAACCCACCGACCGCCATCGCCCTCAGACAACAGAGCAGCCACGGGCGGGCGGCGATATTCGATGACGGTGAGATTGAAGCCCGACAGCCGCCGGCCGTCAGCTCACCAATACGGTCGGCAACGGGCATCACGTAACAGCCACGTGTCTCCAAGTAACGAGGCCAAACGCGGGGGCGTTGATTGCGAGCAGGCACAGAGCGACGTCCGTCGAAAACCACTGCAAAGACGCCGATGATCGTCCGCTTAGAGGGCGGAGCATATGTTTACAGAAGTCTTCATGCTCTTCTTGTCTGCCTTCGAAACAATGCTTACTGGGAAAACTGCTCACAGCTGATACCAAGAAATGAGCTGAAAACTATCCAATTTGCTGTCTGATATGTGAACTATGAACGTCTTTTGCCCAAATTGCTTCCATTTTTCACGCCAGTTGTCCAGACGCCGTGAACAAATCCTGTCCTGCCCGACGGGTGGCAACCGAGCAGCTCTCTACGGAATCAACATGACGGGACCACTCGCCAGTCGCACACCTCAGTAGATCGTATACGTGAGGAGGGAAGCGAAAGACGCCGTCACTAACGGGAAACCAGCACCCACTGAGCTGCTGTAGCCATTTGAAGGACGCGCATGATCCCGCATTTAAATCACATTTCCATAATTCCATATGCGAGATTCTGTCCATATGGGAGATTCTGGTCACCAAAATGCGCCCCGAGCAAGGAGGCTGCGATTCCGAGTAGACCTACGCCCACACCATAATCTAACCTCGTCGCTAATAAGCTGTCAAAATGTCTATGTATAGCATAAGGCGTACGACGCAGGGGATTAGGATGGTCATATGAGTGCCGACCAGCTCGAGACCCAAACGGCAATGATCGAGCAATGGCGCATTGCTGAGTAATGCAAACCAAACGTGACGCTGATACAGACATGCTTTATTCTGGAGTCACGGAGAGATGGATTGCAGGATGTGATTGGAAAAAATGGCCAATGCCAGCTTGAATTTGACATGGGCCTATGAACAGCGGGTAAATGATTGCACAAATCGCTAATGAACTTCCTAAGCTCTCCATCTTTACGGGGCCAGGTCAGGCAGGACCAATTTGCAAATCAAGCTCCAGGATTATAATTATAATCTAGGTAATACTTGTGGATGCACACAATAGCTGTCCGTGGTTTCATTTTGCTATTGCTGACGGTTTCGGTGATACCTTCATAAATCTGACGAGTTTTTAAATCCCACCCATCAAAGTCCGCTCTGGAGGGTTAGAGCGATGTATGGCGAATTAAAAGTTTTCGATAAGGGATTATCGTGCGCCCACGTGCCTCCCAGCTCCTCGGGCGGATGTGATCCATTTCGGCCACCTGAACGGGCCCTCATAAAACCCGTGTCTAAAGAGAAAGGGAAATGAAACGAGACATTCAATGAGACGGCAAACTTAGAGCTGTCATGATAATAATCAAATAGAACAAAAATGGATGGTTACAGCCATAGAAACAACTGAGAGGAACGAAAGATGTGCATGTAAGAATCCCAGATTGAAACGCAAAGGTCACAAGGCCAGAAATAAAAATAAAAATACACCTCCAAGCACCGACCTTATGGACAAATAAATTGCAAGTGTCAAGACTCAAGAGGTAGCAGGATTTCATCATTCGCGCGCACTCAACGAAAAGGTAACACGTCAGGTAACTGGAAATACCAACATTCTGTACTCGAAATAAAGCTTCGTGAAACCGAGTATCCAGCGCAACTCGAGGGTTCTGGGCATTGCTAATGTTGTGGTCTAACCTTAGCCGACCACGGAGCTACAAAAGAACCTCATATCATATTAACGCTGTGCTGAATAATTCTCCCTATCTAGATCTACTACCTCCTCTCTCGTTTGTTGTCTCTCATGTCTCTCACGTCTATCGCATTCCCTTATCCGTTCATTCATTCATTCCCCCATTACCCACCCGCTCCCTACCTCTCTCCTCCTCTCTCCCTCTGCTCCCCGGCTCACCTGCAGGAATCGGACCAGGTACGTGAGCACCAGCCGGTTGATGTCGGGCAGCTGCTGCACCAGCTCCAGCAGCTGGCGCGGCTCCGAGCAGCTGTCGATGCAGCTGGCGTACAGCCGATCGGGGATGAGCGGCTCCCAGAGCTCGCGGTACCACTGTTTGAGCAACGACGCCGGCACGTGACAGTCAGAGCTCTCCGGTACCTCCCACTGGTCGGTGCGCAGCTTCATGTTGAGCACCTCCTCGGCGTCGGCCGGCACTCTGGGGAGGGGGGGGGGGATGTCAGGCAACACTTATCAGTGCACACTGACCGCTGACTGTACAGTGTACAATACATACACTGTAGTCGACTACCCGGCACTAAGGGAAGGGGGATGTGTCGGACAAAGCTCAGCGTTACAAGGTAAACTGAATGGGAACTACATTGACAAGCTCATGCACACGCCGCCCAGAAGGCCAGCACTAAAGTGACTAATGACCACGTCCCCGGGTCAGACAAGCCTCACAGAGGTGCCGATACACCGTGAACTGTAAACCCACAGATGGCACGACCAACAGACTAGTTCACACTCTGATGACCCCTGTCACCATATACACATACTACGGCTGGCCGAGCACACGCCCCGGACGACCCCTGACCCTTACTACGTCGCCCAGGTCTACACAGCCCCACCCGGCCGGCCTCCCCGACCCTGGCTGTCTCCCCTACCCCGTTCACCCGTACCAACACCCTCCAACCAGCCAGTCTCAACAGCAAACCCAGGCGACGGACCGACACCGTCACCGGAGCCCGACGCCTCGCATGTATAATTCATGAGTCGCGTCGACTAACGTCCACTGTGCTCGGCCGGGTCGTTGGACGTCCGTCGGACGCTCGCTGCTGCGCTCAATGACAGCCGGCCGGCCGGTCCGACCGACTGCCAGACGGGCGGATTCGCGCCGGATGGAAGTCTGATTATCCAGCCGGCGCTGAATGGGAGCGGGCTGCCGAGTTTCTCAGTGAGATCTCACAATATCGGACGGGTGGCGGGTCCGCGGATCGATCAGCGGCGCTCACTGACTGTGTCCCGCCCCCGTGTGTGTGGGGCTCCGTGTGAGGGCGTACCTGAAGATGCCCTCGGTTTGGGCGCCCTGCAGTCGCAACACCTCTTCTGTGAGAGTAGTGATGATCCAGGGAAGGCGCCGGTGGGGGAACCGGTCCCGCTGGATGCCCATCACCTCCTGTAGAGTGCTGCCGTACATACTGCAGCGGAATATCTGGAACTGAGCGCACAGACAAGGGGTCAAATTATCGCACATACCGCAGCGGGATATCTGGAATTGAGCACGCTCAGCGCTGGCAAAATATCACATACGTGCACCCAGTCGTGAGGTCATGTTTTCGACTTGTACCACCTTCATCATAAAGAAACATTGCCATGAACCAAGCACATACTACCACCGGATGCCAACAACCAAATGCAGCGGCGGCAGACAGCAGCGTAGTTACAATAAATCAAATCACCGATCCATAGCTCGCGGCACCGCATCATGTGTGGCAATGGCTGCTGGCTGGTATATCATACGGTAATCGTATTCATTAATCATGGCGCGGCTGTCCATCCGCGATAAAGCACAGCTCCACTGAGACCGCCAACAATGTGACGATAATAAACCAGAATAATCCACCGAGAACTCACCCGAGCTAAGTCGATCTCTTCCAGACTTGGCTTCCGGTTATTCCGCTTACCCAGGTTCCGCTCAAGTCTTTGGCAGCATATTTTGGCGTAGTGCGATATCTGCACTTGTATCAGTGACTGAAAGGAGGAAACCGAAGGTTATACACTAATACTCTCATAGAATCATAAGACACATCGTGAACATCGCACTATGTTTCACTTAAAAAAACGGATCTGCTTCGGGCCACCGAGGCTGCGTATCAAAATAGATAACCTCAGACCACGACTTTCAGCTTGAGCTTTCGTACCAGTCGCGTCTGAGCGATAACGTCGCGCGACCATGAGAATACCAAGTGGCTGCCTTGGTGCAGCCCCGTCTCGGTCTTTTCACGGCGGTGCCGGCTCCTGATATGAGACTCCTCCGATGACGGTCCGGCGAACCGCCCCGGGCGGTGTCACTGCCGCTGCCGCCGATATGAGGGTCTCCAGGGGATCGGCCGGGCGCGGCGCGGCGGTGAAAAGTGCCTGGGACGCTCAGCGTCAAGCGCCGGCCCGCAGCCGTGAAATGGACGCTAATCCGCTCCGAATGAGGAAGTGACGGCGGCAGACGGCGCCGTGAACGGGTAGAGGAGCGGCTGTCTGAGACTGCTCGGCACTGACAGGGACGGACCCCCACAGCATACCGCCGCGCCGCGAGCCGGCCAGATCGACCGTTTGACCAAAGATGGAAACCAATTGGCCGGGGCCTTCTGAACCACTCAGAGGTTCCCATTCGAGACATTGAACTAAACCTGGCCAAACATAAATAACCCGCCCAACTTCAATTCACTCGGTTACATCAAAGGTCACTGTTCTAATAGATTGGGAGGGACACCGCGGAGATTGAGTCTCCTTCCCCGGCCAGTGGTCCGGGAACACGGGACGTCTACTCACGTGCACGGGCCACTTGGCCAGCTCCGGGTGCTCGATGGCCGGGTCACGGTGGCGCGCGATGTAGCCCTCAAGGAAGCTGGCGAACTTGTCCGACGGCGGGAAGAACTGCAGACAGATGGCGAGCAGCTCCCAGCCGCGGCGCAGGCTGTCGCGCCGCGGGTTCTCAGTGGTCTGACGGCACACCTGCACGTAGATCTCGTCCCGCAGGCCGGGCTTGCTCCAGCCCAGACCGGCCAGCTCGGCACCCACGCTGTTGAGCGTCATGCCCGGCTTGGCCTTGCGGTCGCCCATGTAGATCTGGATCAGCTTGTAGACCTCGCAGGCGTCCTTCTTCAGCGCCTTGTCGAGTGTGCAGATCATCGGCTGGCTGATGGGGTCCTGGAACGGCCGGTGGGGGTCAATTCATCGCTGCCACAGAAATAACGCGTTCAAACAGCAGACTAGCAGGGGCCACCGCCGGAGTCGAAACGCTCACAGTTTCGATACCGGCAGATGGCCACTGACAGCAGTGAGTGAAGTCGTACTCTGAGTCACAGCTCACACAACCGCAGAGAAAATCGGTTGGCAGCGTTTACGGCTGGCGTGAATATATCGATCTTAGAGTCAAGCTAGCTCCCCGGTCCACAGTATCGCTCCCAGCTGATGAAATACCCCTACTGTCTAACGCTGTCAGGACGACGTTCAGGGGCGCGCAGGTCTCCTAGTGCACCTGTTCAAATCACACGTCTGTTCTCGGAAAGTTTTAGGCGGACATCATCACAAGTCAGGGAGTACTTCCGGGAATACAATATCTGAATACCGCACAGAACGGTCGACGGGAGCTTAGGAATCCTGGTGTGACAATTAACAAACGAAATAAAATCTAATAACGCCGGCCTTGGAGCCGCGAGCCTCCGAAACTTCCCGCAGTATGTCTGAACTGAATGAACGCAGTCCATCAGCACTCCAGGATTGAAATACTGATTACTCACGGAACTAATCTAGAGGCACAGCTATGGTGCGCATAAAAATGAGAAAAGTACGCGACCAAACTGCCATGGAAAATTCATGAGATTTCTTAGGTTCACGTTCATCGTCCTCCAATGCTACAAATAACCAAGAAAACTATAGCCGACGCATAAATTCTACCCTAAGCCGCCCGGAGAGCGTTACACCGCACTTTGTGTGCGGCATTACTGGACCAGACACGCCAAAGCTCCTTTAGATAGATTACCACCATAGAAAACTCCTCGCATAGTGGCGTATTCGGAATAAAGTAGTGTTCGTAAGACCCCATCAAGTCTGAGCACTTCGGGCGCGGAGTAGAGATTAAACGACTGATTAAGCCGGTGGCAGACGCGCGGAACGACGGCCCATTCCGCCCTCGTTCGGACACACCGTCTGACGCTGCCTTTACTGCGGTCCGAGATGGCTTTAGAAGGGGCCTGAACTCAGCTGTGGCGACAGACGGACACAGACGGCGTCACAGATCATAATGAACTCGAAGGGTAACCACACAGTCCGCACACTGTGCTCAGAGTTTGCGCTGCAGGTTAGTTTGAGTCCAGCGATCGCCGGTTAAGTTTATGATGATACAAATAGCCCCGAGCAATCAGGTGCATGTGCCGAGTTCCGTACCCCCACTAAATGCCAAACCCGTCCAGGACCTACAGCTGAATCCGATCTCGACCAGCCAACTGACGCAGTAGCGCCGAATGGCCAGCGCCTGATGTAGATAGAGAATCGAGTTCAGCGGTCTGTCGAACCCTCTGTCGGCGTCTGGCGCCGTAACGGCCATAAAGTCACTTCATTATTGTCCCCTAACAGCCGCGTGGGTGGGACCAGAATAGACTCCGCATGTGAGCCTTCTCATAATAGCCGACATTGGACCGCATTCAACAAGCAGAGAGCTAGCCATCGCTTATCCTGCAGCTCTAAAGGTCGGTAGGCGCGCACACATTACATGCAGGTGGGCATTTAACAAGCCGTTTCACTAAGAATTCAACAGAGAGCACTGTTATGGCATCTGTTTGGGGTTAAAACATCAACTTCAAATGAAACGCTACAGAAAGAACAACTACCTACAGTGTTAAGTATTTAGTAAAGCTCAATTCTACGACAATAGTGTATGGGCATTGGGCTGGCAAGTGGCAACTGTTTACAGCATCATTTTGATAAGCAAAGAAAGTAGACCAGTGCATCTAACTGCCTTGCGGACTTCCCAAAAATTGTTGAAGATCAATCCCACAGAATATACCTCACACTATATTTACACGAGTAGCGCTTTGGAACAAAGAATCACATTTCTAGTGACAGTGGCTGTCATAGTCCTCTGCGGGGTACCAGGATCGACCCTTATAGTCCAATCCCTACCATCCATCTGCACTAAGTATGTAACTACATTGCACGATATGATTATTGTTGTTTACGGAGTCATTTGAGTACCCCCCCCCCCCCCGATCAGTCACAGTCAACGACATCACAGACTACAGAGCAACATTCCATCAAGATATCACACTCCTCGACTTTGGCCCACGAGTACGCACCTTTGACCAGGACAGCATATCGCGCACGGTGTTCTTCTTGCGGAAGATGCCGCGTTTGTGCAGGTTCAGGTTATCCTTGGCGTACTTTTCGATGTCGCTGGTGTCTCCGGCGGGACCGGGGCCGGGCAAAGAGCACCGGTCCGGCAGGGTGCTGGCAGAGCTGCTGGCCAGCGACGACTGCGACGTCTGGTGGACGGAGGGTGAACTACGTGAGCGGACCGGCCGAGTGGGACGGGTGTGAGGGAAGGGGGCGCTGAGGTAGAGAAGACACAGGGACAAGAGACAAGGTTCAAGAAAAACAAGAACAAGATAAAAGAGACTAGAAAGAAAAGACGATAGGTACAATAACAAGAGCGCAAGAGGAGAGAAGAAGAGAAGAGAAGAGAAGAGGAGAGGAGAGACTACAGGTACGATAACAAGCGAGGAGGGAGAAGAGAGAAGACAGGAGCTAAGAAGAAACCATCACCCGACAGAACGGCTTGGTCACATGGCAATTCAATGACCAGAAAAGAATAGCTGGAGCGCATCACTAACGCATCACGCATCACGACCAACGACGTTACCATTATCCAGTTAATCGCACAATATCATCCGTCCAGCCTATGTAAGTCATATCTATTCGTGACGAGACCCAGGCTGCAGAGGTAAGGAATGGCTGAGATGCGTTGGCATGCATTACTTCGTAAAACATCATCAGGAATGCTACCTACATCATCAGGAATGCTACCTGCTAGCGCCACCAGGTTCACCTGGCTCCGGAGCTAGGCTTAGGCCAGACATCGGTAGATACTGACATCTCCATCTCACCTGTGCCAGTCTACTCAGCATGCCGGTGGCCGGCGGCGGCGGCGGCTCGGCTCCAAACAGGTGCGGCGGCGGCGGCGCAGGGCCGGTCCGCTCGGCGATCGGCGAGTACAGGGAGGTGACGAGCGGCAGCGGCGGCGGCGGCAGCGAGCCCCGGCCGCCCCCGCCGCCGCCGCCGCCACCGCGGTTCAGAGAGGCGTGCCGGGAGACGGGGGCGTACGGCGGCGGGCCGGGGGAGGCGGCCGGCAGCCGGGGCAGCGTGCCGCCCCCGCCGACAACACCGTCCACCAGGTCCGACTCGGACCGACCTGCCGACAGGGGGCAGCACCGGTCACACGGCGGTCACAGCAGGTAACTGCGGCGCAGTCCAGGACAGAACCAGCACAGTCCAACCAGTCAACGGGATGGAAAGAAAAAGAACACTCAGCGCATCTTATTGTCGCTAACCATATGACACCTCTATCGAGTGTATTCAGTCTTCCCACCCGCCCGCTCCCCAGAGCAGCCCTCCGGCGCTCACCGTTGAGTTTCTGCCGGTTGCGGAGGTGCGGCGGCAGAATGAAGTTCTGGTAGCGGTCGTCCTCCTCCAGATAGTCGTCCAGACCGGACGAGTCGGCGTTGCTGACCCCCTCGTCGTCAGCAAACTCGTCTGAGTCGTCCGCCGGACCCGAGTCCTCGCTGCGCCAGCTGTCGCGGTCATCCTGGAGTGTGTCACCGAAACGGTACCCTGCGGAGGCGTGGGTCACGTCAGGGTCGAAACGGTGCCCTGAAAGGGGACAAGCCATGTCTGGGGAGAAACGGTACGCTGGGGAGGCGCGGAGTCAGGGAGGTTATTGGGGAGGCGCGGAGCCAGGGAGGAAATAGTACTCCGAGAAGGGCGGTTCAAGTCAGGGCCGAAACGCCTCTTGGAAAGGGAAGGGTCAAGTCAGAGCCGATATTGGAGGCGCGGGTCAGGTCAAGGCCGAAACGGCACCTTGGAGAGGGAAGGGTCAAGTCTGAGCCGATACTGGAAGTGGAGGCGCGGGTCAGGTCAGGTCAGGGCCGAAACGGTGCCCTGCGGAGGAACAGGAAGGTCAGAGTCAAAACGGTACCCTGGAGATGAAAGGGTCAGGTCAGGGCCGAAAAGGTACCGTGAGGCGAAGCGAGCCGAGTCAGGGCTGAAGCGGTACCCTAGCAACTCCGTCTCCTAGTTACACACAAACTAAGTTATAGCGAGTTAACTACGAAGTTCATTAAGCATAATAGCAGAGATGAGGCTGTGGGTCAAAACTATGTCATTGTAATGGGAGTATTACACCATTATCCTACCTGAATGAAGAGACAACTGTCTCTTGCGATCCCTTGCCATCCATCCACCCGCAAACGCCCCATCAAAGAGCCATAACACGCCACTTCTGCTAACTGCAGCGGCCAATGCGGCCGATTACGTTAACTGGCGCGAGTCCCAGCTGCAGCCAGCGTTCACTGGCGAGCGGGTGCCGCAGCTCGGCGGTTACCAGTCGTGTATAGCGCCGTGTCATCGCCATCTGGATCAATCACTGGGTGTTTGGCCGGGCTGTTTTGAGCTCTCACAGCAGAACTGCATCTGGTGTATTGACTGCAGCGTGTTCTCTGACCGTGTGTTTGACACCAAGACTCATATCCGACCAGAGTCGCCCATTACATTTGTCGGAAACTGGCACACCGGGTAGATAAGGTTGGTAATTATGGCTCCACGGGCCATCCGTGACACCCATGGCCGTTAATTAACATAACAGTCCGACAATCGTCACGCTAATAGCCCAGTCCTCTAATTAAATGAACACTTCGGCTTGCAAAGGGGATAGTCGAGACAAAACGTGTCGCAAACGAGCACTGACATTTTATGGCGCTGTGAATTCATTTTCGCATTATTACGTTGGGAAATTCATTTTCGCAATCAGCAACAACCTCTCGTCGTTGAAGACCGTTTAATTGCACATTAGCAAGATGTAGGGCAATGCCTGCTATTACTCTTTGCGCAAGGAGAATAAAACTTAGGCTTAGTTTAGGAGGTTGCAATGGAGGTGTATCGCATAGGCTTTACGATGTAGTCTACCATTCACCCCTTTAAAACACCCCAGCAGTAAACAAGACATAAGAAGCATCACTAGACCCATGGCCGTATTGAGGTGCCCATTGAAATGCATGCTGATCAAGACAGCTATGGGCCAACCAATCATGCTCGTGGTCTGTAATTATCGACTGTCCGAGGGCCCGACCGCTTCATTAAATCGAGCGCTGCATAATACCCACCTGAGAGTTTGGCCTGCTCCAGAATGTACTGGTGCAGCGGTATGAGGTTGGCCTGCGTGGCCGGGTCGAAGAAGTAGTCGGCGGCGCCGGAGCGCGGCGCCGCCTCCTCCGGCCGCGCCGTCACGCCGTGCACGATCACTGGCTTGGGCTCGTCGGCGGCCGGCCGGGCGGCGTCGCGGCCCGCCGACCGCTGGCTGCCCGCCGTCGTCGACGTCGACACCACGCCCGAGTCGAACTGCGAGTGCGGCGAGCTGTCGGCCGAGGTGCGGCCGGCGCGTCGGCCCGGCGAGAACAGCGGCCGCTGCGGCGACGGCGGGCTGCCGCTCGAGTCGCTGTCGGCGCCCGCCGAGCGCAGCACGTCCAGCTGGAAGCGCGGCCGGCCGCCGCCCGGCTTGCGGTTCATCAGCGGCGTGCAGAGCGAGTCGACGCCGGCGCTGGCGTCGCGGCCGGCCGGCGGCGGCGGCTCCCAGCGGCGGCGCGGCTGCGGCGTCGACTCGACGCTGCGCAGACCGCCCAGCAGGAACCGCTCGTGCATGGCGTCGTCGTCGACAGCCCGGTCGCGGCGCTGCATGAAGCTGTAGCTGCGCGAGAGGGGCGTGTCGCGGGCGCGCTCCAGCGGCATACCGCTGCCGGAGCCGGAGCCGGCGCTGCCGGTCGTGCCGTGCGCCGGTCGCTCGCACTCGAAGCTGCGCTGTTTGGTGAGCGCGGCTGGGGCGGGCCGGCAGGAGCGGCGCTCGCCGCCGCCGCTGCGGCCGGCCGGCAGCGGCATCGGCTTGGTGGGCGACTCGAGGGTGGCATAGGCGGGCCTGCAGCGGCAGCTGCGCTGGGAGCAGTCCGTCTGGCTGCCGGCGCCGTCTGACACGGCCGAGTGGCGAGACGACGCGTCCTGCAACACACGGGACGGCGGCCGGTCAGTGGGACGGCCGTCACAGCCCCGCCGCTCCGCGCCGCGTCACGCCGGGAAGGCCGCGCCGTCGGTGACGGCCCGGCCGCGCCCAGGCGCCGGGTGACTGCCGGGCACGCCCGGCGCCGCCGCTGATGAACGCTGATGACATAAACAGGCCAGGCGGTCATGAAAAGAGGCGATACCATGAACAGAGCGCTGTGCACTCCAACAGGGCGGGCCCACATCGGACTTGGTTGGAATGAAGAGACCGTCTGCAGCAGCGGTCGGCCGGGCGGTGTGCAAACAGGAACAAGTCCGGGGGCCCCAATCCGCCGACGGACATCATATATAAACTGGGCTGCAAAACATGACTAACGGTCAAACGAAACGTTAATGAAACTAAATCGTCACTGACAGAGATGGATGATCATCACATGCCGTGCCAGGAGGCCTCATGTACAGGAACAAAAACAACAGTGAGCCAGCGACCCGACTTTTCCGGGCCACTGGAGCTCCTTGTGCGTGACTATTTTTGCAGCCGGTTCTGCAAGAGGTGCGTGAGTGTGAAACCTCTGAGTCATCACTCCGGATTACGCAGACGGAGCTCACTGCGGCCACCTGGCACCGTTCGCCGGCTAGGAGAGCTCGGCGGCACCGGCTGTGAGCGACTGTGAACCGGGCGGTCATCAAGATCAGCCACTTCAACCACTCGTGTCAACAGCCACTCAGCACAGGCGACAAATATGACAACAATCCACACTACAACATCGCCTAATGTAAATAACACACACAGAACGCTTCCCACCCAGTCCCGACGACCCGCTGAGCTAGCAGCCGGTACAATGAACGACCCGTTTTTGTCCTCGAGCGTCCGGACGCGCACGTGTTGCCGTCTCACACGATCGTGCGGGGCACGTCTGCCAGCTGGCCGGGCCGCCGACGGCCGTCCGGAAATGCTCGCCGGCTTTTGAAGTCGGCGGCGGGTCCCTCAGTCGGGCACGCACCGTCTCCGAGATGGCGGCGGAACGGTGGGGTACAGAGGACCGACGGCCGCGCGCCGCCCGACGGGCAGCTATTCCTGTCAGCGGTGTCGGCACCGCGGCGGCTCCGGCCCGGCGGGACCGGCCCGGCGCCGCGGCCGTCAACACGTGCCGTGCACGGCGCCGCTGCACAGCCGGCGGGGTGCACGGTGCACAGCACGCGCGCCGCCGCCGCCGCCGGCGGTCGTGCCGCGCCGACAATGGACAAATGCCGGCAGATGGCTCAGCGGGTCGCCACGGCTGCAGCTGCTGGGGTCTCAGACACACTGAGCCCGGACCCGCTCACGATGGCACACTCCCGGTCACGTTCTCTAACGGCTACAGAGAGTCGCTCCGCCCAGCTAAAAACCAGACCAGACCGGTAGGCCGGGTCATAGACCACTTAGTTAATCACTCAGAGACAAGCCCGGCTCGTGGGCGGCGGACACGCCTGCCTGGAGTAACTTAATCACTAAAGTTCGTCACTGCCATACGTTTATGACTTCCCCGGCACCGGGGAACGACTGTGCTACTTTATGACGCCTGGGTGTTTAGTCGGTCGTAAAATCGGGTCAGAGCAGCACCCAGCGGCCGCCAAAAGTAAATCAGCGAGAGAAATCATCGCTTTAATCATCAGCAACTAACGATGCTCCCGGCTGCGCGGTGGGGTGGCAGATGATCATAATTTACTATTATAATTCCATCGTGCTCAACAGACGGACTCTCCCGCTGTGTGTCTGTGGAGGGACTGACTGCTGGTTACCTTGGTGCGGGAGGAGCGGGCCGGCGGCGGCTGACCGCCCTCCGAGCCGCAATGGTGCCGGTGGTGATGGTGCCGGTGCCGACGGCCCCGCGGCGACGACGACGGCGACGTCTGGGTCTGGATAGTGGCCATGGAGCGCGACTTCTGAGCCTGCCGACAGAGGAGCGTGCAAAGTCACGTGACGGCATTTGAGCATTGAACGAGCGGCAACAGTTGCTGAATACAGTCATACGCGACAATGGCATCGTCACAGACAACAGAACACGAATCCAGAAGCACGCACACAAATACGCTCCGCCACAGCACGCTAAACCCACGCACATTTCGCACGTGAGTACGCGCTGATGTCAGCGTGAAAGCCGGCGGTGCGTTCTGCGTGACGTGCCCGCCACGCCCGCTCGAATAAACAGACCACTTCAAAGCGGTCGGGCGGCGCGATGGACGCAGGGCGCGGAGACCGGCGCTAAGGACAGGCGTGTCACAACTCGGCTGTTGTTTACGAACCGGACTGCCAGCTCGGACCGTGGCCACACCCGGGGCCTGTCATAACAGTCAGCATAGTCTCCGGCGCCGACGGGTTTCCTCTCTCCTGATACCGGCCCGGTGGACCGAACACCGGGCGGCTGGCGGTCAGCGGCCGCCCCCGCCCCCGCCCCGGGCGGTCGCTGCGTCGGCGTGTGAGTCAGCCGGCGGCAGAGCGCGCGGAGAGATGAGAGAGGCCTCCACCGGTGACTCAGCGCCCCCCCCCCCCCCCCGCCGCCGGCCGAAACCTCCCCAGCAGCGGCCCCCAGGGACGCTGCCGGGTCGTAGAGGTGAAAAACGGACACCCTTCATCTCGAATGCAGCGGCATATGTCTCCAGTGGATTTAACAAACAGCATTGATCCATGCAAATTTTTGAAAACTTCAGGTCAGGGATCTTCTCAGACATAAATTCCTTCCATGAGCTGCTTCTCAGAGTGAGGATTACAAACTAGTCGTGGCAGTATACTGACGTTCTCAACATTTTTCATCTCAACATTCGAGGTCAAACAATCCACAAAGTAGTCCTTACAAAGCTGACGCCTTTTCTCTGAGCAGAGAGCCACCCGCGGAGAGCCCGACAAAACACGTGCTGTAACCATTTGCAGGCAGAAGGCACAACAGACGTGGTCTGTCGAGAAAGGTCAGAGCGAATCGACAAAACACACCGCACCACCCGGAAACTGAACAGCACCAAACGGTAGGAGAGCAGGTTTTCACAAAGAGCACGATAACGACCAACATGTAATTCCCATTATAACAGCACTATTGTTACACCGAGTAACTAGAAGGGTTCGATAAAAGAGACAAACACCTGGACAGAGAAAGCTTCGAAACAAAAAAAACGTGACGTTCCCCGTACCCTTGCACCCAATCGACAGTCAAATCTTCGCTTCACGAGGCTACCGGAGCATCCAGTTTAGCGACATGACACAACAGCCTACATCGCCTAATGCACGACTCCGCTGCAGCATTACTACCAATCGAATCACAGTCGCTGACGCCGGCTCCGATCACTACACAGCACAGCTGGTACCGAATACTACACGTCTCACGACACGGGTTCCCCGGTCCATATGGCCCGTATCACCACCACGGAACGGTATCTGATCGGTCGGGACATGGCCATCGGCACGACTCCAGTCGGGTGGGATGACTCGGAGGAGCACACCAGGGCAGGACGGAGCGTCAGATTTTGACGACCGGCGCTATCACTGAGGCAGCGGCAGAGGGCGACCTGGTGCCGCGTCATCCCCGAGTCCGAAAACATCTCCGTGTCGGATCAAACGGCAGACGTCAGCGAGGTGACTGATGAAGGCGACGCCCGGCACCGGGGACTCCGATCGGGCCACCGTCCATCGCCGAGCGATGTTGCGGTGCGCCGCGCGGCGTTTTTACTGACCCAAGGACGGCGGCCGAGACAGGCGTCGTACGATAGCGATTTGTCGGCCCAGTCGTCACGAAGGCCGGGCTGTGCGGCGATCGCCGGTCGTCACGGTGTGGCCAGTATGACTCACCCGACGAGCGACTGACTGCTGGTCGGTTCAGAGGCCCGTATCAGTCGCAGCCATTTCGTTCCATTCAAAACCCCAAAACAAGGCTGATACACCAAGCGCACCGTTACAGCTGCCGGCGGAACTATCGTAGGTAGATCTCCGGATGATGGGCATAAATTCCGTCTGGGGCCGTGCACGCCGCTGAAAGACGGTGAAACCGTCCACACTCGGACTGATGTCACCGTTCCGGAACGATCCCGGCACAGACGGACCATGCAAAACATGCAGCGGGCCTCGAGTGAATTTAGACCAAACAGTCATTTGCACCAGTCCCTGTCAACGGCCAGGGGAGATAGCGCTACAGCTGGAGCAGAAACGATCGGACTTTTGCGTGTACCATGAGATTGAGCTCGATTACACGGTTTACACTCTCGTCAGGGGTAAGCAGTACGAACCAGAAGCGCAAAACACCGAAACGGGACCGCTTGTGATAGCTTACTGAATATGGCTTCCTACAGAAGATAAGGAAGGTAAACCAGCCAGATCATTCATGGATCGATGCAATACCATAATGAACAGCGCAGATGACACATGAGGACGCAGAGCGCCGATGAAAGTTGATCTGCAAAACCCTACTTCCTTCGATACAACTGGAGCAGGACAAGCAGGACTCCCTGTACCATCACTGAGGCAAGACACGCGTATCGGAAAGATGAGAGACGCAGAGCACGAGAAACGGTCACAAACAGCGGAGTACATAAGGGAGCTAATGAGGCAGAGCGTGAGTAGGAGAGAGCGGCGTGGGCGTTGTCGCTCCGTCAGGACCCCCGGTGTCCTGTCGGGACGCGTGTGCGTCCGTCACGTACCGAGTTATTCCTGGCCGTCTGGGAGCCGTCGCTGCGCCGCGACCGACCGTCCTCATCCTCTGCCTCCGTGTTCTGCTTCAGCGTCTGACGGAGAGGACAAGGGAAATGGTCAGAGACAGTGGTAGAACAGGGCACAACTAGACAGCGTCAGAGACAGCGACAGAGGCAGCAGTCAGGGGCACAACAGTCAGAGACCGCGGCACACAAACACAGCGATCAGAGACATGTCAAAGACATGTAGGACACAGCAGCAGCAGAGAGAGAAAACGCGATTAGAGCCAGGGGCAGACAGAGGCACAGAGGTCAAACAGAGTTCAGCGACACCACCCATGACGGGCTACGCAATAGGCCATTCCCTATTCCCACCTTCTAAAATGTTGTTAAAACCAGTTAAATTGTGCCCGACTTTATAGATTGGATGACCAGGAACACGGCTCTGGCATTTATTTTTCATTAAACATCTTAGGCTTCCCATATTCCAAACACAAACATTCAAATATGTGACGTCACAGCCCAAAATTACCTCCTTCCCTAGGCCACATTACTGTCATAAAGCTGATTCTTTTTACTCTGTAGGCACCACAACAAAGTTCAGACCAAGTTTTAAGCGATTTTTCAACGAACAAACCCATTTAAATCAGAATGACTAAACGAGGTGACGTCACACTAACGGTCGCTCCATGTTGAAGATAGGGCCTTGTACAAGGCCCATTTTCAAATGAAGGGAACGAATTTCTTCAACACCAAGAGGCCGCGGGGGTTACAACCTAGATAGATAGTGGTTTCTGAACCTCGCCGCAAACTTGGCTATCTCAACTCAAACCCCATGTTAAAGGTGGGATAGTCCCTTTAAAGCGCCAACGCAGCCAGGACAGCGTAGATAGGCAAACAGTAGGAAAAGTGTGAGAGGTGCACACATTTACTCAGCACATGAATAATGATGGGCTGGAGGATGGCGTAAGCGCACAGTGCACACATTCGTAACGCGCGTCGCCGAGCCATAACTGCTGGCAGTTCTACGCCTCGATCGAATGGAATCCAATTACACGCAGGTGAACACAAGCATAAGCATGACTGATGACCAGCGCCATTGCAGTAGAGCAAAGACTGCATTCAGCCTGTGTCACACAAATTCCAGCATCAGCACAACGCGCAGCACGCCCTTACACCCTGTGGTACTTCACCCGCAATGCACACACACCCACGGCACCTAATTATGGCCAGCTCGGATCCCGGCGACCACACGTGTCGCTGCACCGACCGCAGGCGTGTGCCGTTCAGAGCACATATTACTCGGCACATTATGTAGATGGCCGAGCGGCACCGGGTGGCTCGCTGCAGTCGAGTTATGATGGATGAACTACGCAGCGGTCGGTAGGGCATCAGGCCGCCGCCCACGCCTGCTCTGCACGGCGGAGGGACTGGACGGACGGGCTGCCGCCCACACCACCCAGCCGCCAGTGGCGAGCAGCCAGCAGGGGCCAGCACGAGCGAGCAGAGGCCAGCAGCGAGCAGCGAACGGCCAGCACAGCGGTGAGGTCGGCGCCTGGCGCCAGTGCCGGCCGACATCGCAGTAACAGTAGGCGTCGCCCAGTCAGGGCCTTCAGAGTGGACGACACACCCCCGCCATAGGCACAGGTGGAGGGAGAATGCCATCCGAGCACACCACATAGACGTCAGGCCGGTAGAACGGGGCCTCACTGAGGCTCAGTACTGACCGACCGCACCTGGGGGATGCCCGCTCCTCGCCGCCGCGCGATGCACAGCGATGATACACTCAAACCGGTCTCAGGCCACTGGACAATGAACGGACGGCCGGGACTCTGGAGAAGTCATGCCTCTGTGGGAAACGTCCCGCGTCCCTTCCCAAGTCATTCTGAGGCTAGACGGCCGCGGCGGAGGAATGAGACGGCCGGCTGTGTCGCGCAGCCGGTCCCAGGAGGGCGATGATCGCGCCCCTCCGGTCGTTCGAGCTTGGCTCGACTTCAGGGCATTCCCAATCCTCGTCGACCGGTACCCTACAGTGTCGGGACCTCGCGTGGCTTGACGTCTTTGGCGCCAGGGCGGGGGCGGCCGCCACGAGCCGCCGTGACTCGGTAGGTCGTTAGAGGGGCTCTGGCCGGCCCGCGGGCCGACCGCCCCGCCGCCAGAAATCGATGGGTGTGTCGAGACGGCCCCGACCGCTGCGGGGCAGTCGGCGCCGACGGCGGCACCCTCCGTCGCACGCGACGACCGACGGCGCGCCGACACCCGGGCGGGTTCAATCCGATATCTGAGGGCTCAGCCGACCGACGACAGACGGCGAAATCGAGCCCACCCAACACCTGCTGACTAATGACTTGTAATCTGTCGAACGGTGAGCCGACGCGCCCTATCGAGATCATCAGCGAATCACTAGAGGCGCGGCGCTTCTAATCAGCCCACTGCTTAGCACAACATTAAGATGCGCCGATAGGCCGTTGGCGTACTATAATTGCAATCGTTACACGGCATTGAGCACGTCATGACCACTCGGGCCAGGGGCGTGGTCGCTGAGCCGTTAGCCGACGTGAGGTCACGTCAACCTGCGGGCCGACCCGGCACCTATTGGAGCGGCCCGGGAGGTCGACCGCAGTTCAGACATAACAAGGTATTGGATCGACTATCGATCAGATCCACCAGGCCAACGGCGCCATTGTCGGCCTGTTGTCGGCCGGCGGCCCGGTGTCGGCCCATTCGCAGGCCCGATCGCCGCCGTACGAACAGCCATAATGGGCCGAAGAGGCGGCCGTAAAGGCATGCTCCTCCGAGACGGCATACGGAGGTCTCCCGCATCAGAGGAAACGGATGGAGGGCGCGCGGAAATGAACGGAACACGGCCGAGTGTGCCCCCGGAAATAATAGCAAGGTTGATCACAGTGTCGCAGTGACGTTATCCGCGGGGATATTGGCGTGACAGTTTCGTAAATCAAGGCTCACGTTCACCTTCGCTGACCGCCAGATCTCCAAAGCCTATGTGGAGTCCCGTGAGTCATTTGCTCGGTTTGTTATAACATGAATCACGTCACATTGTCGTGATCAGTCATGTTTCACGGGTAATTTAACAATAACATTGTAGGCATATATCTACGCAGGGAGTAGGTATCCAGGCGAAAACTATAGGTTTTCTTTCAGCGCAGACAGCTTCAGACAACTGCAACTCTTGCCGCGTAACTCAGCCCATAGCGCACGCCCCATCTGCGCGTAGAGCCTCCAGCCGCCACTAACAAGGCAATAACTCAGGAGATGGCGCGGGATGATCAATCAGGGCGCCCTCGGCGGCACCGGGGGACGGCGGCCCCATGTGGCGGCATTACCGACACACCGGCTGCCGGTGCCCGGTCCGCCGGCGCTCGATACCCGTCATCACCGTCACCGCCGATAGCCGTCATCTGCCGCGGCGGCGGCGGCTCCTCTGATCGCGCTATCTGGGCCCATACCGAGCGGCGCCACCGAGCCGCCGCCGCCGATCGGCAGAGGCGACGTCGATGGCTCCGCCGGTAAACAGTGACCTAACGCGGCACCGACGCACCAGCGCCGCGGCGGCGCATAGCGTCACACCCGTATCGGCATCGCGGCGCTGTCGGCGCCCCAACCGAGCCGTGCAGCAAGGACCTCTCTGACCCCTGAAGGCGATGTGCAAGGGCCGGAGATAGTTCCATCGCCATCCGAGGTCAACATTCAGAGAAACATCAACAGCACTGGCCGAAATGAATCGCATTAGCCGTGCATTCATACACACCACAACATCGCTGAGACTTTCACGTCCAAACAATGGCGGCCCTAAGAAAACAAGAGAGTTTAGAGTGCCTACTGCAGAGTGCAAGGAGCGGGTCAAAGGACAGGGCCTCGCGAAGTGTGTTGAAGGCTGGCAGCCAGGAGACTGTGGAACGATCACGCATGACATATGGAACATATGCATTGCCGTTGTTGTCTTACAGGGGACAGCACCGCCTCAGGCAGCCTTATGAGGAACATGTTTAGTCGTGTCAGACCTAATCCAGATCCCACGGCAACAAGGAATCGCAAAGCGTAGGTAGGTAAGTAAAATAAAAACACCGCGGAAGTGGTATTAGCGCACGCCACCAGTCCACTGCCTCCTCGCACTCGGCAGCACAGTAGCCGGCGCCTCCGGCCGGGCCGGGCCGACCACAGAGACCGGAAGGACCCGCGGCGCCGACACCAGCCGCCGTGAAAGGCCCACTCGCGGCTGCTAACCGCGCTGCGAACTCGGCCGTTGCGCCACTGCGCCCCAAGGCAGGCCGCCAGCCGCAGCTCCCACGGCACGGCGCGACATGGCACCGCCGGCTCCACCGGCCGGCGACCGCTCAATTCGGAGCTCATATCGGGGCGGCGCGCCGGATTGTTTGATCCCGGGTGGGGACGGTCGCGCCGGGGCGGGGGCGGGGGCGGCCCCAGGGAGCACGTGACGGCGGTGTGCCCGCCGGCCGGCTGGGTAGGTGAGCCGCCCAGTTGACCTCCGGACCGCCAGAGGACGATCAATACGCGGGTGGGTCGCCCCTGCAGCCGGCCGCGGGCGCCGCCCCGCCCCCTCACAGTACACGGAGCGATCACAGTGCTGAACATCGGACCGACGCCATCGAAAATACCGCATAGATACCACCCATACTGAATATCGACTCTATCCGCGCACAAACAGTGATAATCCGTCCGTGCGGCCAACCGATTATACCGTCCACTTGACACAAATCTACATCCGCTACTGAGTGACCGTATGCAAATCCACCAACCCTGTGACGACACCTGTTCCCTGGCACCCTTTCAAAGTGACTTGAAACGGCACGACCACACGTCAAACCGCCTCAATAGACGGGCGGCTCAAAGACGATCCCGGCTGACAGGCCAGGAGCAGATCAGAGGCCGCTGGGGACCGGCGCGGCCGACCTGTCTGTGTTCATCACCGGCCGGCGGTCGGCGGTGGGCTCAATGGACTTCGGGCCGCACCGGGCCGCTCAATATCTCTCCCTGTGGATCGGTTGAGCCACGCCCCGCTCCTGCCCGAGGCGGCGACCAAGGTCGGCCAAGGTCGGCCGGTCCGGTCGGTC